AACAGCAACAAACAGTAACAATAGAAGAAACAAAAAAACATTTCACCAACACCAACAGTCCACAGCAGGATACAACGAGAGCCTAGCAAGTCATTGTGTCAATAACCCACCGGGCTGTATTTACCCCAGATCTTACATGGGAACCTGCTAGTCTTTTTTCAGGTTATGAGATGTTCTGTTAAGATCTGCTGAAAATGGCAATTATAGTAACAGGATTATATCTCATTGATTACAATTTCCCCTGGGACACTGAAAATGTACAGATACAGCAGACAACAACAAAAAAAAAAAGATTAGAGATACTTAAATTTATTTATTTTTCTCTTCCTTTGAGAAAACCTCGAATTTTCACAACAAAATAACAAATAACAACAAAGGCTTTTTATCACAGGAGAAGGGAATAATATTCTGCCTAGAAATGGAAAAAAAAAAAACTACATTATGTTGCGAGCAGCAGCCTTAGATTCCTCTGCTCTTAAATGGGAAGACGGATGGTTGTCATGGAAACTATCTGCGCGCTGTGGAATGCTTTCCTGCTCTCCGAATCCGCCTCTCCCTGGCTGTCCACGAGCCTGCCTGCGAGTCTCTCAGGAGAGCCAACTGCTTGTCAGGGACTGGGGGAGAATGCAGATAATTAATCCGTTAACATTACTGTAATCCCACTATCCCACTCTCAGGTAAAACCGGCCCAGATAATTAAAAGGCCATCCGCCCCCCCCCGGTGTCTGGGGGCTACGCTAGCTTTCTGTAGTCGTCGACGGCGACAACGTCCGCGAGTGTCAGGACACGCCAGACACCATCTGCCATCTGCTTTCTCTTGAGTGTCTTAGTGGCGGCTTGGAAAAGCCCACGGCCATCAAAAAACACTTCTCCCAGGATTTTTCCCCCAACGGGCAAATCAGAAAGAAACACAAGCAGGGGATATTTACCGCTAGCAAGATCTGACTGTGAAGGTACACAATGTGCTGAACAGCACCTGGATGTACTGGTTACTGAACATTCCATTCTGACACGGTTTCCCGTGTTGCGATTATTCTGTATTGTTCTGCATTTTTGAACCTGTCAAAACTAAGAATTTCTGGTGCTTTTTTGGATTTCTCAGAGATCACCTGCGGAAAGGAGACATGAAATTCACATCCGACAAAGTTTATGCGTTCCACAAGTAGTCCCTCGGGTCCTCCGGGGTAGTTTTTCCCTTCCAGCTATTCTCCACTTCTGGCCAATTCTGAGCTGTGTCCTCAATTCTGGACTTTTGAGGATGTGATCGGAATAGTTTTCGCCACCCAGCAACCAAAAACAAGTGGAACCCCCAGCCATCTCTGGACCTGTTCTGAAGAACTACGGCTGCTCATCACCACCCCTACCCAAAACCTACAGCATGTTGGCCACCTACCCCCTCACGCCTCACTAGATGAACTAGAGCCACACCTGATGGCAGAAACGCCTCACTGCGGCTGCTCAGGTCAAGACTCCGGCTACTGTTTCACTAGCTGTGGTGCGAATAAACAACGTGGCGAATTTGTGCCATCAAACGCACCCGACCGCACTTTCTGTGCCAAACCACCTTAAGTACAGTATATGAAAATGGTTGCAGGCGTAAGGTGTGAAAAAGCTTTAAAAAGGTTTGGTGCAGGAATCACAGTGACAGCGCATTTTAATTCTATACAGCGAATGCTGTCTGGTACTGCCTGGAGCAATTTCTTGCCATTATTCTGTTGCACTAACCACAGCTTCTCAGACCCTGGACCCCAAGATTGCAGCGTCTGTGGCTTTCATCACAGTCTGGAGAAGACTAGTGTCCTGATTTAGCGCATTTAGTCCTAAATGGCACTAGACAGTAAATCAGTCACATCAAGCAGTAGCATCAAATTTAGCTAACTGTCAGAAGCTCTGCAAGCTGGGCCCAGGAAGTCAGAACGCAGACTTTTGTATTATTCCTCTATACCACACAATGCACGTTGATTCTCCACTATCATGAGGGGTTTAATAGTTGTGTCAAATCTCATATATGAAACCAACAGTAAAGAGGCAAGAGATCCTTGGGGAACTAGTGAAATTCTGGTACAGGTACATTACACCTGGACAGATTTCTCCCCCGTGCCTGACACTAGCTGAGCTCATTTCCTGCCTCCTTCACCTCTAAGGCTGTACCCTCGCTGTGTGGTGTGCCCTTGTGCACTGCAACACAGAGACACCTGCCTGCGACAAGCAGAACTGCAATCATGTGTACTGAGGAAGATCACACTGCCTGCTAGTTCTATAGAGTTCTGTAAAGTAAAAGTAAACAAGCTCTAAGCACCAGGGAGGTGAGTGACACACAATATTGGAACAAACCAATAAGTTATGTCTGACAGTCAGTGCCAGATGCTTACACTACACAGATCAGGAGTAATTCCTTTTCAAGCAGAAGAAAAGGGAAAAAAAAAACAAATCAAACGAAAACTGTATACGTAAGAAGAGAACATGCCATACAAGCACCCTGAGGAGCATTCATCATTATAAATGACTGTCATTCAAGACTTGCCAACTTTCTGATCTTACCAGGGAGTTCAAGCAACAGCTTCCTCAATGCTTCCTCATGCAGTGCCTGCCTCTCAGTGAGTCAGCCCCTGAATCTCAGCGCAGAGCAGTGGTTTCTCCTCGGCAGAGTTACTGGCTCAGAGTCCACCGTAGTGCAGAAGAGCAGAGAGCTCCGTCCGAGTCATCTCTTAATTACGTTGACATCTTCCATTATCTTTTTTTTTTTAAATAACGTGGAATCTCCATTTATTGTCCTTTTGATGCTCCTTCTCAGTTTGGAGACATCTGCTCTTAATCAGCTTGATCCAGAAGGTTTAGACTGCAGGTTTACTCAGAAAGCCTGCCTTTCACAGATGACATTTTCTTCCATCTGTAATCATGTGCATTTTCGATCAGTGATCCACTCTTTTTCACATGCCATTCTGAGAAAGAGTTCCAGCTTTCACTTAAATGGTAAATTATGCCAGAGTGGCTGCTGTACCATGCTAACAAAGCCTACCTGTTAGTGGCACTCTGTAGTTAAGCTAATCATTTCTCAATACAGGACTGAGAAATAATTTCATGACATTTAGTGCAAGTTCAATCCAGGCTATGTTTCTTCTTCCTTCGTGAAAGTGCCAATAGAGTAGAAATATTCAGCATGTGATAAAAAAGAAAACTATAAAATTTGTATTAACAGTGTTGTTTTCTATCATGAACAAAAGCCAAGAAAAGCTTTAAGAAGCACAGAAATGAGTCCTGTAAAATACTATACACTAAGAACCACTGGAGAATAATGAATCCATCGGAGTCATGTCCGTTTCACATGAAAAAAAGGAAAAAAGCAATTATCACAAAACTCGCAAAAGCAGGCACTGCTCAGTATCGAAGTCTACTTGCTGTAAAATCCCAGGAAAGGGTCAATCATGTTTTAAATGGTGGCGGTTTACATTCTTAGAAAAAAAAACCTGAGAAAATATGCTGACTCAAGAACGCAATTCTAAGCCCTGCAGTGCATTGAACGTCTCATTTAGATTCCTTCTTCTGTCATGACAGAACTGCAGCAGCCTCTGGATCGCTGCCTGTCCCGTTTGCGCTATCAGCACATATGGGAAAAGGCAAACCAAAACTCGTATCTCACCGACATGGCATGGATACTTCAGCTGCTATGCAGATTTGAAGAAGAATTAGATTAATACGGGGGATTATTGGCTTTAAGACTTAAAGAGAGGAGAGACTGTTGGAAAATGGAGAAAGGAGAGTGCTGGGAGAAAAATAATCCTGGGTTTGGATCCTGTTGGGGTGCCCCCCTGTGTGGAGTTTGCACGTTCTCATGTTCACGTGCATTTCCTCCGGGTATCCCCCCACCTCCTGAAGACACAGTGGCGACGGCCTGGTGTCCCATCCGGGGGTGTAGTCCTGCCATTCAATTCCAGAGGAATCTCACTGTGGGCGCTCAACGAGACTTAGCCATGACCCAAGTAGAATCTCCACCCCTCCACCGGCCACTGCCACTCCTTGTCCAAGAGCACCGGTTTCTACAGGAATCCTTGGAAATTCAATGGAAGTTTTGGATGCTGGGCAGCTTTTGTCTTCTTGCTTACTAGTCCTACTAGACCTCCTCAAGGAAAATGGGCTTTCAAAAGCCATGTGAGATGCCACCCTGAGACTGAGCACCGGGCAAGTACAATAGCTCTACAGCACGGCCAGCCCGAGTGGGAGGCACCCCAACACTGTTTCGGACACTGCACTGACAAGAGCCCAACCTGACCCATGCTCACACGAGACTGGAAAGACAAAGCACAGTGGAGGAAAAATGAACAGAACACAATTCAATCTCTGTACTGAACCACAATAAACAAACGATTTGAAAAAATCCACAACCGCTACGGTTTTGAGTTATTCATTTGCATGTCTGTGCACAGGTTGTAGAAAACCTCTCTACAGAGAAACGCTCCTGTTTGCAGAAAGCTCTGGCCAAGACCTTCCTTGTAAGCCTACCCATTACACAGGACACGTTTAATACCATCAACTGATCCAGACTGAAGGAGCTCTGCCTGTAACACTAATTCCCACCTCTGAAGAACAAGAGAAAAACACAATTCCTTTAAAAATACATCACACGATTTCCAATAAAACATTCTTCTGACCTCGGTGAATTCCAGCTGTTAAATAATATATTTTATGTATACATTTTTCTTTATTCAGAGGATTGAAAAGGGATACTAATACCACAGGATTCCTTAACTGTTACTGGCTTGGATTCTGCAGTAACCAAAAGAAGATGTTAAGATGTTTGCGCGGATATAAGCGTATTTCAGCACAGCACACTGTGGAAGAGGAACTGCCTCTTATTCACTCAATACTGCAACTCAGCATTCTTCAGGACTGCTCAAAGGATGGCTTAAAAAGCAGGAAACACACCCGCACACACAAATAAACAACACAAAAAACAAACAAGACAAGCTTTAAAACCTGACACAACAAGATGGCAGCCTTACCAGGACAGTACGACTCCAGGTCAGGGTTCTGAGCAGGGGAGGTGGTGTGTGTAGGGGAGCCAAGTTCTGATTCAGGAATGCGAGGGCTCTCCACAAACTTTGCTTTCCGCAGGGGGGCTGGGAGAAGAGAGACGCACACCGACAGGGAGACAGGGAGAGAGAGAGAGAGAGAGACACAGAGACAGAGAAGGAGAGAGCGAGAGGGAGAGGGAGAGGGAGAGAGAGAGAGGGGACATGAGCGAGGAGAGAAACAGGGAACAGATGGAAACACTTAACCACAGTGTGTCAGGGAGGCTGGGGTCAGGTTACTGTGCTTGTTGGGCCACAGGCCCCTGGACGGGAGGGATAAAAGGAGCAGAATCTTCACCCCACCCCGCTGCCCTGTGCTGTCTGCGGGACGGGTGGGGGGAAGAGGGTGGGCAGTGGGTGAGGGTTTTCCTTCATTAAATGAAGTTACAGAGCTCTCCTCCAAGATGTGGTCTTTGACACTTTCCGCATCTTCACTTTTCTTCTAATTGTTTTTATTGTGATGAATCTTTCCAACCCTGGCATGCCTTGTGTACCTAACTGGGCTGTTTATCACTGTCTGAAATCTTTATATGCGGTATAAATTAATGTCAAGGATTAATAATGAATGCTCTTATAGTACTAATTGACCCTTCACTTCCACTTCAACTACGTCTATTTCCATGAACACTACTCCAACTGCTACTATGACTATCACACTAACAGCTCTTAGTAATCCTACAGCTAATACTGCTTGTATTCCAAACCATGACCACTGCTACTGTACTAAAACCCAACTGCTACTGAAAGAACTACTCTTTTTACTCTTGCTTCAACTTTTACAAACGTTATCTCTTTCGTTTCTTCTCATCTATTACTACTTAAACAACTGACAATAATACAGTACTGGTCCAAGTACTACTACGAGCAATGGTTCTCTTACGGAAGTGAATTTCACACTCAGTACAGGCTCTCTTTCTTCTATCCTGAATTCAACTACTCCTGCAGTTAGCTCCCTTCCTTCTCCTCCTCTTGCCAACCCTAACAGTAGAGACTGGTGGCAGAGCAATAAATAACACCAGCGGCCTATCTTCTGAAAGGGGATCGAGGAACAGATCAAAGAGGGGTCTGGGATTTCTGTTCACACCGCACCAGCCCATGGCGCAGGAATTTGCCGGACATGGTTTTCCTTATCTGCACACGAGCACCAGGCACCGTGAGCCGAGGGCAACAGAACGGCAGGAAGTGCAGCTGCCACTGTGTGCAATGACACCATGACAATGCACATAGGACAAACCATGACAGGGCACATTCCAGTGGTCAAAAAAAGAAAACATACAGATTGTGCTCAGTGCACATCACTAGACATCGGTGCAGTCTGTTTTTTTTTACCCCTTGGCCAGAAAAGTCTTTTAAAAAATGGGTTGCAAGGGAGAAAGCAGATAGTTGACATGAGACATGAAGATCATCTCTCGTTGATGTTCAAGTGCTACAGTAATCATGGCAGTTCGCCTGCCTGCTGATGACAGCTGAAATGCATTCAGCTCCCATTCAGAGATGTCATTAAAGAGCTCTGATTGGGCAACATGCAAATAAGCAGCATTTACCTGGTCATCAGAAATGTGACAGTCTGGCCTAACACCTGCCTGTCATGTGTCCCCTGGTATTACCATCAATCACACTGCAACTAAACAAACTCCTCCCTCTTCTAATACGACCTAAAAGCAAGCATGACATCACTGTTCAGTATAGCTCTCAATGCTGGCGGGGACCACTGTGCTCCAAGGCACCTTAGCTTCTCAGTAACTGGGAAGTGACTTTATGACTTAATTCCTGTATGTTTCCTCCAGCCCTTGAGCTCTTGCTGCAGGCACTGAGGTTTAAATGCATCTCCAAGAGCTCCGATACAAGATAATCTGAGCTGACACCCATAGAGACGGGAACCACGACTCCTTCCATGCATAGGGAATGCAGACTAGCACCAGAGCAAAACACTGTATGTTCATAGTGAAGAAGAAGGTTTCACCTCCTAAATTATATATTATGTCTGCACTTTGCAAAAACAATAACAGAGGTCCCTCGTGAGCCTTCTCTGTATTATTACTCTCACAGAAGATCTGATGAGACAGTGACATATGTTATAGCTGAACTGCAGCACTTTACCCTGTTGTCTCCTTGTAGGACTCAGCAAACCTGTGAGCACAGGGTGAACAATGAGGTCACTGGTAACACTGGGAAATGACAAGGTCAAATGCTAATCTAGGGACACACAAACTGTTTCAGCTGTTACAATTGGCACTTCTTTAATCATTGTCAGACCATCCCGGATTACAAATAGCTGTGGGAATGATCCACTGTCTACTACCAGTAGATGAGAAAAATACAAACTTAGGAAAAACATGAGCTGGTACTGCATCTGGGAATCTACAGTACATATTAGAAGATTCTTTCCTTTCAACATGCAGGCAGTTGAGAAAATATTCCCTTGAAAAATCTGCTGATTTCAAAAAAAGTTCAGTCGACAGATGTTTCGCTGTTAACTGGCTGCAATTCTCTGCTTTGTGTGCATGCTTGTTAGTGAGTAACCTGTCTACCACGCATCAAGTGATTCTACTGAGCCTGTAGATCTGGCTTTTTAAAGTGGACTAGACATCAAACAGACTATTAATCTACAAGCATGGCAGGGAAGCCACCTTCTTTTCTACTCAGATCCTGTTTGGGGATCTTTCTGCTCCGATCCTATGAATCATGAAGATCTTATGGGATCTTTTCCATGTTAGAAATGTATTGCCATTCGAAGTCCTGGACTTCAATGGGGGACATACGGTAAAGTACATTTCTGCCACTTTGGTCCACAGTGGAACAGGAGGGATCCTCAACAGGCAACACAACCAGCTGCAAGATGCATTGGACAGTCCTGCTCCACCAGGTGCAGCCGCAGTGTTTCCAGTGAAGGATCTGCACTGGCACCCCTACTGAACCATCTGTGAATAATGACGCGTCACTCTGTGTCCTGCGCGAGGCAGCAGGTGATCATTCATAGCAGTGGTGAACGTCACTGGCTCTCCAGCATGTGGAGCAGAGTGGACTCCCTACTCCAGTTGGAAGCAGAGGCATCACCATACAAAACTACAAAAAACAAACAGACAAATAATACACAACACAAATAAAAATACTCAATACAATAGTCCTAGACATTTACATTTACACACATTTCGCTCTGCCCATTTTGCATTTTACAGTATAACGGCAGTCAAAATGGACAAAATAAAACAATACCATGCAGCATGACACTTTCGTACTATACTTACTACACACTTAGAATCGAACAAAAAATAAAAAACTAAAGAAAACTGAACAATTTAACTCGAAAGCAAACAAACAGCTCATTTTCCAGAAAATCTTAAATCCAAAGGAAATCTGAAGGGAGTCAATGCTGTTATTATGCACGGATATGTTAATTCACTAATGTTGTCTTGGACACCGAAGCCTTGATAACTACAGCTCTAGATCTATTTGAATCTAAGAAGCTGTTTTTCACTCTGTGTGGTTCCCTACAGATGATAAGGACTATGGATGGAATCCGACTACAGAGGCTAAGGAAAGATTTTTAATTGAGCAAGCTACTGTATAAGAAAAAGAAGTGGAGTAAAGAAACATTAAAAAAACTCACAGAGATGTGAAGCAGTAATATACACACTATGATAATAGATCACTTCAGAGCTGCAGGACACAAAGAAAAGTCTGAACCAGTTTTCAGACAGAGACAAATGAGGTCTCCATGAAGAACGGCCCAGCCCCCTCCAGCTGTCTGCTCTGTGGAAAGAGCACTCGGCCACTTCTCTGCTTTACACATAATTAAAACTGAAAAAGAAAACACTGCCAACATTATAAAACAGCAACACTAAGCAAACGTGTAGAGGAGTCCCAAGAATACGGAATCTCTGAGGACAAGGATAAGTAATGCAGCCCAATTTGACTCGAAACACAAAACACTCGCACAAGCAACAACTAGTGCAGTGTACAGTCCGCATCTGCATATAACTCATAGTTCAATTTTTAAGTTTCATCCTTCTGCTGCACAAAATACCAAATAAATGAGCCAACTATTAAAAGAAATGCAGATGTTTCTTGCAGCTTTTTTTAGAAACATAAGGAAAGTCTTTCGCTACTCAGGGACTGAAACAGTTAACGGATACTATTTAAATCACAAACATCACAAGAGAACTATGCACTGCGGTTAAAAAAAGAAGAAATAAGAGCTCTAAAATAATTAAATAATTAAAACCAAATCCCCCGAGTGCAACAAATGACATTTTAAAAAAACTTCACTTTACAGGCAGGGTTTAACATATCTGCTTTAGCAGGACTGACACAATGATGGACTGCATCGGAGCCTTACTGCAAATCCATTCTACTAATGAGCTTATGTATATATAAACACACATACAAAAAAAACTGGAAAACTGGAATAAAATTTAGAACGTCCAGAGAGACTGGGAGAGAAAAATGCTTAATTAAACACTTAAAGCTTAAAAGTGTTCAAGTGTTAAAAGCTTTTTTTTTTTCTTGACAAAATGAACAAAGTAAAAACTGATTTCCATCTTAGTTTTCACAGAACCTATCTACATGACCTTTGATTATATACAGTATATGCAGTACTCTATATATACACTGAACCTCCCTGTTAAGTATTGATGGACATTTTACACAGCAATCCTGAGCTGTACCTGTAATTGGGCATCTTACGGCAATACAAACACCTCTAGCCCCCAAAATTAAGAAACCTTTGTGTCGTTCAATGAAAAAGTTATTAACAACTGTCTGCTTTAACATGAGTTTCTTCCTCCAGGTTGGCTGAACTCCTAGCGAATCCTATTTTACTGTATCATGCCTTTTGAGCTCCAGTGATTGAGAGAGACTGCCGAAGCAAAACTTAGGAACTGAAAAAGACAAAGCCATTCCTGGTGCTGGGACACTGTTTCCTTGTACTGGCACGTGGGCTGGGGTTAATAACCTTCATACAGTATCTCTGTGAGCAGCGGGCCACGAGGAAGAAGACCACAACATACAGTACTGCCACATACTGCATGCACAGATAGGGATGGATA